TCATGTCACAATGTGAAACCCGGGGGGGGGGGGGAACCCCCCCCCCCCCCCGGATGTGAAACAATCACAGTGGAAGGTTCCAATCTTTTTGAATTATGAGCCTTCAAATTTGAATTTAGAAGTTATTTTTGCGGAGGAAAACTTGAAAACCTGGTTAAAAAACCTGAATCTTGAAATATATTTGATATATATACTAAATATTATTTTGCCACAGAAGAAAATAAGCTGGAAAAGCTGTCAGAAAAAGTTAAGTAAAATTCCGTATCATTGTAACCTTTCACTGATTGTGCATTTCGAACTTGTTATTCAACTTGCAAAAACAACATTCAGCAACTTTTTTTTAAAATAGCTATATTTATATACCATCCATATATTACTCATGAATAATATCTTTGTTGATAACATTTACTAAGATTCATGAACAATTTACTTTGAAATTGACTTACCTGGTATTTTGTATAAATACTTATTGTAACTATTTTATCATTTTGATACCAGTCATATCTGAAAAGAAAAGAAAAAATGCAACACATCTTTTTTTAAATTGTATTTTGTCTTTGTTTTGACCTTGATATCATAAATCACCCGGGAGGAGGGGGGGGGGGGGTACTCCCCTATATTCACTATACTGGTACACTCTGCCAAACAGGGTTTTGTTTTTTAGCGATTCCACTCTGGAACAGGGTATATAAAATTGCGCTTGCTCTGGAACAGGGTATATGAAATCATGCTCTCTCCTCTCTGGAACAGGGTTTTCGTCAGCGATCTTGCTCTGGAACAGGGTATGAAATTCAGYGATTTTTACTCTGGAACGGGGTCAGGGTTCAGGGTACTCAGGGGCACATCCATACCCTAAACGGGCAAGAGTACCTCCCCCCCGGGGTAAATCATCATGAACTCAAATTTTGACCTTAAATTTGAGGATGGCAAGACTAGTATATATGGTGATGCCAAAATGATTATCAAAAAAGGTTGCTTTCAAATTGTTTTTTCATGTGTGTGCTGTCAACCTTGTTCTACGCAATCTCTCTGGAGCATGAAAAGCCCTAATTGACATTCTAACAATACCAAGAACGATGGATATGAAAACCTGTTTTGAAAAAAAAATGCTGATGTCATCATTTTGGTGTTGCCGTCCTCAATGTTTGCCAATGCCTAAGGTCTCTATAATCACTGGATTCAYCCCAGCTGTATTGTCAAGTGAGAACATGGTGTAAGATTTGTTATATATTAACTAACCTGGGTGATGATGATTCTGGAGAAAGCTGYGGTCGATTTAACCCACTGGTTGCTGTTAGTTCAAACGAAGACAAAATGTTAATATTCAGTACGAAACTATAAATTTACGTTATATTTTAACACTTAATAAAACAAGTAGCACCAATCCAATCCTTTTGCCCGGAGGGGGGTACTCTTGCATGTTTAGGGTAGGGATTTGCCGCTGAGCCCTCTGAACCCTGACCCTGTTCCAGAGTACTGTAAAATCACTCAAATTCAAACCCTGTTCCAAGCAAGATTGCTGAAAACCATACCCTTTTCYGGTAGTGCGAAAATAGATACCCTGTTGCAGAGAGGAGAGAGTGTGATTTCATATACCCTGTCCCAGAGCAAGGGCGATTTTATATACCTTGTCCCAGAGTGAGTGCGATTTTATATACCCTGTTCCAGAGTAAAATCACTGTTTGGCGGCACGTACCTGTATAGCGAATATTAGAGCAGTACCCCCCCCCCCCCTCCCGGGTCCTTTTGCCGGTATGTATGCATCATTTTGCCAAGATCGTATTAGTTAAGCATAAATAAAGGATCCCTTCTATTAATGTTTAAAATTGTTTTGTTTTGAAAATATTACTGCAGAAGAATATAATATATAGGTGTACAGTATCTATATATGACAGGACCCAGTTGTTCAAYGCCYGATTAGTGCTAATCCTGGGTTAACTCTTAATAAGACCTATMGAGTTAATCCTGGATTAGCGCTAATCCAGCTTTGAACAACCCGGCCCTGGCTGTTATTTTAAGCCCTGGCTTCACTTCTGTGTAATGTGTAGTTCCAGAAATCATCCATACCCACCCCACAGAGGAATTTGGAATTTCCGAAGAGTAGGGGGGTCAGAGAAAGAACAAAAACCGAGTTTGTATGGAAGAAAATTGGAATTTCCGGGGGGTAGGGGGGTCTTACAAAAATTCCTCCGTGAGGAGGGTATGGATAATTTTTGGAACTACGCAACGTTTTCCCACGTCATTCTGACTTATCAAGGAATCCTAAAACTGTTTAGAAGGCCTAACAACTTCAACAGAGAAGACTCATAATAGAGACTTGGCTCGGTTCCACCATCCTGGACCAGTGATCACCCCTCTATATATTAATGGTGACCCTTTTACTTCAAAATAAAAACTAGGTCCTATAGCAGTAAATAGCACTAGAAACTAATCAAGCATGCATATGTACAACATATACCTGTAGTATCAGCAACTGACAGTGAATTGGCAGACTTGAGTGATCCTGTCGACTTGTTTAGTGATCTATTAGATCCTYGCCTCGGGGGGCCCATTGTTTTTGACATTTCTAAAGGTCCTACGAAACATTTCTCTAACATGGACTCTGCATTGACCCACTTATGAACCTGCAGCAACAAAAGTAGAATGACGCATTTATGCATTTTTAAAGGATTCCAAGGGCAGATGAAGATTTACAAGATAAATAGTAGGGAAGCACGGGTGGCGTAGTGGTGAGAGCGCTCGCCTCTCACCAATGYGACCCGAGTTCAAGTCCTGCTGAGCCCGGTGTTGTATGTGAGTAGAGTTGTTTGTCGGTTCCCTCCTGTGCTTCGAGGGTTTTCCGGGTTCCCTGGCTTTCCTCCCTCCGCAAAAATCAACTCCTAAATTCCCATTAGAATTACAGTGTGGATGAATAGCTACTCTGTAGAAATACCACTGTTAAATCACATTTATTTATTTATTTATTTGTTTATTTACCTATTTATTTATTTAGTTCATCTCAGATGTACTAAGATTTTTCCACCCAGATCTTGGGACTAAATTGGGGTCCCAAATAATGCATTATGTGCGTGTATGTGCTGATCAATGTTGTGGAAACGGATAAATTAAACACCAGCAGCGCAATTTAGTCCTGGCATGGACATATTAAAATATTGTGAAAATACATTGGGATATATTGTTGTCATTATATTTTTTGTCAGAAAATGCATTATTTAGGAGTTACTGCAATTTTCGATATTTTGCAAACTTGGCAGTTACAAGCTGCACCCTGAAATTTGGTTTTTCGCTGCCGTCAATCAAAAATAATCAGTCAGTATCTTCTATGTTTTTGACTGGCAGCAGTAAAAAAAAAAAAAATTTCACAAGTTGAAGAAATGTCTGAGTTYGCAATATATCGAAGACCATATATGTTAATGATATCAATGACAATGCATGTGAAACTAAAATAGAAGAGAAATGGGAATAGAAAAACAGTTCATACCTCATCAAACAAAGATGTACCATCTATTCCAGCGCCTTTCATTATTTCTGGTATACCACCGGGGTGATACTCAAGATATGGAGTGATATTATATACTCTTCCTAGAAAAAAGAATAAAAAAAACAAAGCTAAGTTTTTAACTCAAAAAACCCTTTAGGGCCTTAATTTCGCCCCAAACCCACCTCCACTACCTCGCCTAAATAAATTCTGATACTCAAAATTTTAAGTTTGAAGGCTTTAATATACAGTACCTTATGATACATTTAAATAACTATGTTTTTAATGGCAAAATGACTTTTTCTATGAATATTCAGTAAGTATGGATTAAATCTTTGGATTTTTAAACGAAATCTATCATGGAACATACGCACTCTGAAAGCCATTTCAATATTGAAATGAATATTGAAGACCTTTCGTCGCTTGATAAATAAGTTCGTATTTTCATAAGGAAAACACATCGCTATTGAAGACATTTCTTAATCATTGCTGGGACGCCTTAGTTATATAAAAGCTTTGATAAACAGCGATAAATAAAATAAAAATCACCTCGAATAGCGATCCAACAATCATCATCCTTGTTGTGCTTGGMGAGCTCTTCGAAGCTCACAGCTCGATGTTTTCCACCAACTCCAGTCAAATCTTTCCCGCTATTTCCCAACCGAATCCAATCCATAAGACTCCGTCCTGGTTTAAGAGCTACTTTAGCTCGAATTGAGCCGCTGGAAGTCGCTCTCTGAGGCGAATTTACGGCAGGAAAACTGATTTTCGGAGCCTCCATGGTTGAAGTTCCTTCCTTCCCGACAGCTGGAGTTGGAACAACCGCTGATTCAGCGGACTCTTTAGTACTTCCACAACCCAGATTGCTTCCTTTATCTCAAAAAACACGTTGAAATTTCAACATATAATTGAATCCAGGACTTTTAGAGCGACTTTTAGGTCTTGAATTTCCAATATCAGGTCAGCTTTATATCGGCAGGATATCCAAGGCCTATTTTAATTAGAAATCGCATCCTGAGAAGTCTCGTTATAAACTTGCAAGTTTAATCTCCCAATCTCCGGCGTAGCTTTGAACTTCTTTTGACTCCGAAACGCCAACACTTCTAGTAAAACATATCCTTATTTCCTAGTTTAAYTGTCTTATCTTAAAGACTTCTATTTTTTTTTTGCCGAGAAGATATGCCGTTCCTCGTTGACCTTCTATAAGGGCCGACCTTATATTGATCACTATGCGGACTCACTGTTGCTATTTGAAGTCCTTAGAAACGAGAATTTATATGCAAATATAAATTTATTTTGGGAATAAGTGATAATYACTTACAGTAATAATTGACGGACACTATTTCTAAAACATCCGCTCTGTGATTCTTAACACCTTTAAAAAAAGTTATAATTTGTCCTATTTAGTTCCGGGATTTTAGCGGTATATAAGTAGACACCGGTGCTTTGTAGCTCGTGAACGTCAATGAAAGCACTTTCTACTGACGTGCCGCTGCACAAAAGCACTGCAACATGGCGCAGTTTTAGGGGACGCTTGCTGAGTAGTGAAAGATAAAATAAAAGTAATAGGAAGCCTTAATTATCGTATAATTTTCAAATCTACGTCGCTTCTTGAAGCACAAAACTCACGAGCGACTTATGAAGCGTTACCTCAAACAGCCCCAAGATGCAACGCATTTCTACAACGACGAGGTCATTGAAACACTTGGACTGACTTCCACAAAAAGTTACTCAAAAAATATAATTTTTCTTTACTTAAAAAAAAAATTAAATTTTTWAAATTCTTTTGCTATTCTTTTCCCACTTCATTCTTTACTTCTTGTTTTTTCTCTTCCTTTCCGTTTTGTTTTCATTCGTTTTGTCGTTCGAATTAATTTCCTCTTTTCTCCTTTCCTTTCCTTTTATTTCTCCTTTCCATTCCATTGCTTTCCTCTCATATTCTCATCACCCAACTCGTGTACGTGTATATTGAAGAAATAGAAAACGCGCGTGCGTGCTGTGTTCAGTCATAGAGCACGCGGGGGTTGGCAGAACACGAGAGAAGTGTTTGGAGAAGCACGACGCGTAGCGGAGTCCTTCTGGACACTTCTCGAGTGTTCTGCCAATCCCCAAGTGCTTCATAACTGCACACAGTACAGCAAGCAAGTTTTTTATTCCTTTTACAAAATATGAATTACAATAACCGTTATTGCGCGCGTGCAATGTGCTCTCATAAAGCACGCGCTCCAAACCAATCAGAACGCGACATTCATAAGTTTTTTTTTATAACGAATTTTATACCATTTTTTCATATTTCAGCTCTAATTCAAAAGAAAAAAATCAAAAAATAATATAACTGTATATAACTAAATAATTCAGTATATCAATAATAACAAAAACAAACATTAAATAAATATAAATACAAGCAAACAAAAACACTTACAAATCTAAACTTCTGAAGTTATTTATTTTCTGTTTACCTTGAGAAAATGTATACTTTGTATTATTTAGAATTCCATACAGAGAACGCATAGGTTATGATAGTCTCTTAATCTACAATACATATTGCACTGTAGTAGTTTTGTACCTTCAAGTTTTTGCACGCAATATTAAATCTACATCCTTTTCGTTTGGTCGTGTAATACTGCATGTATAAAAGCAGAAACTTACGGGGGCTGAGTGTGTAAACGCCATACTAGTTATACATTTCTTTTGTATAATCTCATGAATATTCAACTTTTTTCTTGAAAAATTTCTTTACAATAAATCGCGACCTATTACGTCAAACATTACCAAAACTCTATTAAAGATCACTATATTAAAGACAGTCCCCGTTATAAGTTTCTAACGGTTTTGCAAAAACACGTTGATCAAATACATTTAGTATTTATAGGAATGCACCATGTATATGTTATTTACCGACCAGGAGGTCTGGATAGGGAAAAACTGTGCCCGAGGTCTTGAATATACGCCCGAGGTCCGTTTTCAAGACCGAGGGCACAGTTTTTCCCTATCCAGACCGACTATAGGACGGTAAATAACTTATTTATTTTTCCCGTATTTTTTTTACTTGTTTTTGTAATCGTTTTGTTTTGTTGTTTAGCGGCAAAGGATACCGGACCGCGTGCGCGGGCAGATACTGACAAAATACCTCTCGTTCAAACAGCCAATCAGAACGCACATTTTTTTGGATACCGGACCGGAAAAAAATAAATGACATTCTTCCCTTTCGGCACTAACAAAACCTTGGTAGAAATGCTAGTCAGTTCACTACTTAAAAACGTTATAAATGAATCTATAGCACTATTTATACTGATCCTTTTAAGGTTTAAGGCAGTTTTGAGCATTTTATGTCGGAGAGACTTGGTATCGTACAGTTGGCCATAAGGGACATGCACTGAGCAAGTTAGACGAGTTTGTACGAAAAAAAACCGAGTTCCTGCATATTAGACGAGTTGCTGCATTTTAGACTTGAGTTACTGAATTAAGTTGCTGCAAATAAGAAACGAGTTGCTTCATTTTAGACGAGTTGCTACAAATAAGAAACGAGTTGCTTCATTTTAGACGAGTTGCTACAAATAAGAAACGAGNCAAATAAGAAACGAGTTGCTTCATTTTAGACGAGTTGCTACAAATAAGAAACGAGTTGCTTCATTTTAGACGAGTTGCTACAAATAAGAAACGAGTTGCTTCATTTTAGACGAGTTGCTACAAAAGAGAAAGGAGTTGCTCCACAAAAGAAACGAGCGCGCTGGGCACGAATTAAATGCCTGGTATTTTTTAATTTTCAACGATTTTTTCAACTAAAACGAATTCTAATCGATTGTTATATAAAAAGTTATAATAAAAAAAAACTTGCAAAAAAAGTCAGAGACATAAGTTTCAGGTCACCCATCCTGGTAATAACTTCGCTCAACCGGACTTGACTCAGTGTCTGATTGAACCGCAAGTTTTTTCCACTGCACCACGGTTCCAGGTGAATCAGCATAACAATAGCCGTGAAAACAATGCACCAGATAGACTAGACTTTTTAACATTATATTTTCCACCGATTCCGTGCGTGGCAGAGATGCAAGGGATTAGCCGATATGGTCTGGGGGCCGGCTGGTCTCTCCCCTGATGCTTCGGCTAGAACATTTTCTTGCGTAATTCGTACACCCAAGGGCAGAAGGATTTAATCGCCGTCAGGTCCGAAGTCCATACGCCGCCTCAGCTCTGCGGATGTCTCGGGGGTATGGCAAAGTAGAATCGATTTTTTTCCCTTAAATTTCTGTCGGTGATCACAGGTTCGAACCCCATCATCGTATCCAGATAAGATTTTCTTTTTTTCATTTATCCTCGATTTGGCAATATCTAGCAGTAAAAGCCAGCAATCTCTATTGGAGAAATTGAGTGCATTTTCCTGATTTCAAATACCTCCTGGAAACAATTTACTGACAAAAGCTCTTAAGGTGTGGACACACGGTGCAGCATTGCACCCATCAAATTTGAACCGGAATGACACATTGCAACAAAATCACGCAACATTGCTTGTGTCAGAGCGCTACGAATGAAATTTGGTCAGCGGTTATAAATGTTTTGAAAGCTGATTGGTTCGAATTTTCAAGATGTTGCACGCAATATTGCAGCCCCGTTCAAACGATGAAATTTGTTGCGCGCAATGTTGCAAGAGTAGAGCTCGATTCAACTTCAGATTTGTTGCATGCAATGTTGCTGCAACAGTCCTGTTGTGTGCAATGTTGCTTCACTCCACTTGGTTTGGAATCTTAGTATTTTCTCTCTATAGATACAGCTATTTCAAAAAAAGGTTGAATACTGAATACTGCATACTGAATATTGCATTCCAAGACCAAAGGGCATTGTGGGTCTCGTTAATTTGAAAAAGTAAACATACAGCAATTAACTCTCTACATGTAGTTAGTATATTGTTTCAGATGGAATACACTAAAAATAGAATAAGTCCCCGCGCACAAATAAGTACCTAATTCTCCCCCGTCCTCGTTTCTGTTCAGAGCTATCTTGACTAATATATTATGCCTCTTCGAGAAAAAGGGCGCGGTAATATATAGAAACTAAAAATATTTTCCGGGCATTTAATCCGTATCCCTGCAGTCTGTAATCAGGAGGAATTCTCCTAAGTACCACAAACAAAGTCGTTTAACATGCAGCAACTCGTTTCTTATTTGCAGCACCTCGTCTAACATGGAGCAACTCGTCTAACATGCAGCAACTCGT